TGCTGCTGTAGTCTGCCCTTGCTGGTGATGCTGACGTCATCGGTGGACCAACATGTTCTTCTCTTCTCTTTGCCCGGGTCCCCAATAGTATCCACATAGCTCTCATGATGAGACTGATCGTAGTGTAGCTATCCTTGGAATGTGGTTCTAAGGTTCGCCATCGCTGGCGGTAGAGCACGTGCGAGTGTGATGGTTCCTTTCGAACGCAGCGCCTCTCCGCCTCCAGGAAGACATGCCCCCATTCAGTACGCCACAGCGGCAGAAGGCACAGCATCCACATTAATATGTCAGTTGTTTTGGGGTTCCTGGAAGAGCTCCTGTAAGGGCTGCATACTGCTTTACAGGCGTCTGGCGGGTTTTATGGTGTTTGACAGGGTGTTTTATGGGTTTATAGGGCTAGGGTTGCATGGGGTATTAGATAGCATTGTATGGTAGTGCAAGGTTCCTTTAAAAAGTTCCTTGAAGCTGAAGGGGTTATAGGGCTTGGGGTTTTGTCTAAGGTTTCGGGCTTAGGGCGCAGAGAGCGACACTAGCCACCAGCGCACTAGCGGAACCTAAGCGCGAGAGAGAGGGCGGACAAAAACAGAGCATGCTTGAAGAGACAACTGGCTTTGGTGGCGACAGCAGCGCTNNGCTCTGCAGGGTCAGCTGAAGAATGTGGGGCAGATCCAAGCCTCCGCTGGTGCTTTTGCTGCCATCCTTGGCGATGGAACCGTTGTGACCTGGGGTGATGCTGACCTTGGTGGCGACGTGCTGTACAGTTCAAGCCTCTCGGGGCTTTTGCTGCGATTCTTGCAGATGGATCGGTTGTGACCTGGGGTCATGCTGACCTTGCGACAGTAGTGTAGTGCAGGGTCAGCTGAAGAATGTGCAGCAGATCCAAGTGCCAAGCCACGATCAACAGAAAGGGTGAGACGCAGCCCGCCTGACATGCTAGGCTCCCTGCAGCCCTCCTTCGTCGGTGGTACAGACGCCTTGTCCAGGCAGGGCCATGAAGGTTAAAAGCCCCATAATCCCTAAACCCTTTAGGGTTGAGGGGCATGGCCTCCGTTTCTTTGCTTTTGCGATGGGGAAAGGAGGGGGAGTTCAGGCTCGGCAATGGGGGTTTGGGCGAAGGATCGGTCTTCCTGTTTCGTCTTCATTTGCTCACCTTGCTCGATCCAGAGCACACCAGAAGTCCTATATAGTCTAGGATGCTTGTCGTAATGCACGGCTCCGCCCACCGGCACTATGGTAGAACATTCCACGCGTCCCTGCGCTATCGATTTGGAATCTTCGTGGCCCCTGCATGTGGGTTTTGTCTGGGAAGTGTGTTGGAGTTTCATGTTTGTTTAATGCAGAGTTGTTGTCCAGCTTCTTTTCATCAGCCCTAGAGATTCTGGGAGGGTGTCAGAATGTCTGTAGCATAGAAGTCTGAATAGTCAGTGATAAGTTTCCATTGTGGTCCCTATATCACGAAACAGCCTATTCTACATCGAAGACCTACTGCTCTGAGTAGAAGAAGGCCCGTATGTCAGCTGCTTCCCCCGACATGTTGCATATCAGGAGGCATTGCAGGAAATGGCCCTGAGGTCTCGTTTATCTGAGTTTTGGGGGGGCTGCCAGGGCCCTGGGTGATGGATACGCCTTCGCCACAGAACTGCGCCTCTCTGGCGAACTATGTGCTCTCCCCAGCTCCCTGCGATTTCCCTAACCTCCCAGTACCTACTAAATAGGGCCGCACTCCAGTACCCTATATAGCAGGTACCTGGGGGGTTGGGGTTGTTGAGGGCTGAGGGCGTAGTAGGGCTTGTGGATCCCTCACACCAGGTGATAAGGGGGCTGCTTGGGGTAGAGTTTAGGGTTTAGGGTTTAGGGCTTCTGTGTGGTCGGCGGCTTGAAGAAGTCGGAAGTGTTGGTGCTTCGGGGATAGGAGCTTCAGGGCCTGCGGGTTCAGTGTGCAGGCTTGCAACCCACACAGTCCGAACCCACAATCCGAAATCCTACAGCCCGGGAATCCGCAACCCAAAGCAAGAGATTCAAAAGCACTATCCAAGACCAGTGCAACCGACGAATGCCTGAGCCCTCGAGGTCTGAGTTACAAGCCATAAGCCGCAAGACGCAAATCCACCACCATTGCTCCTACTGCCGTCACTGTACTCGACGACTGCCCATATACCGCTACTACAACCACCGGGACGGCTGCTGACATTGCTGCTGCCAATGCTATCAGCCTACTCGTATTAGCAATGATAGGAATAATACTTATGATGCAACAGTATCTACCACTACTGCTGTAAATACTACCAGTTTTTTACTTTGACTACTGCTGCTGCTGCTACTACTACTGCTACCACCACGACGACGACCACTACCACGACGACGACGACGGCTGCTGCTGCTGCTGCTGCTGCTGCTGCTGCTACTGCTGCTATTACTGCTACTACTGTTACTATCACCACCGCCAGAACCACGACAACGACGACGACTGCTCCGGCTACTACTACTGCTACTGTTACCATTACTGCTGCTGCTGATGTTGCTGGTTCCTATCGCTCTGTTGTTTCAGTACTTAGCCCATGTGCATCCGCAACATGCATATTGAATCCGTTAAACATACACACATTTTTGTGTTCATCCTAGCTCCGTTCTTTCCTTCATGTACTCTGAAAGCCCTACACCCCAAACCCTAGCCCTAGACCCCAAAACCCAGAGCCGAAATCTCTTGACACTGCGGCCGGTCAATTTTTCGCAGCTGATCAAGACCCGGTGCCCGGTCCCCTGAAGACGAAGCGCCACTTGGTGAGCGGCTTGGACCCATACCATGGCCTACACTAATCTACGATACTGTACTTTGTTCCACTGTACACTAATAGTATATCTAGTAGAATATACGATAATATTCTAAGCTCTCTCTGTCTCGCTTTCTCTCCTTTTCTCTTGTTCACCCTTCGCAGCCTGGGGCTTCACCTGTGATTGTGGGAACGTGCCTAAGGTTGGCGAAAATGCGTAGTGTTTGTCGTGTTCTGTGTAGGAGTTCACAGAGCTTTCATCGAACTTCCACGGGGGGTGTGTGGTGGCTCTAGCCCTCTCAACTCCGCTTCTTCAGGAGAACGCAAGGAAGTCAAAGCATGATTGCTTTGGCAGTCCTACGATTACATTCCAAACCCCGAGCTCCCGAACCCTTAAGCCGGGCTCCTGAAAGGTTTGTATGACTTTCGGTCGGCAAGCCCCCAGAAAGGACTCAGCGAAGTAGTTGGTGGTTGAAGGCTGAGTCGGTGTCCCTGAGTCCTAGCCTCATCCAACTTGCGGACAGCAAGCACCACACCGTTGTCGCTGATATTTACCAGAGTCAGAAAGTCAGATGTTGCAAGTTAGGTTGCAGATGCCCTTAACATATAGTTATCTTCCCGCAGAGAGGCAGAATGTAAAATCTACATCCTATACAGCCCAAGCCACAAGCCACATACCCAAAACCGTAAACCCTTCACTTAACCCTAGACTCTAAGCCCCAACTTTAAAGCCCCAAGCCCTCAACTGACTAACTCAGATCCTGTATCCTTCAACTCCAGCAGCCTAAGCCCCAAGGAACGGCCTCATAACGATGGCCAGCGCCGCCCTCCAGTCCCTGGTGGAGGCGGCGCCCGCGATGCGGGCGACGCATCTGCGGGAGCTCCTCAAAGATGAGAAAAGGCTGCGTTTAGGGCTTGGAGGGTTTTGGGGTGTTTGTTTCGGGCTTTTGGTTTCGGGTTCAAGGTTCAGGGTCTAGTGAGTTAGCATTAAGATAGGGCACCTTGTGTTGCTGTTTTTTTCGCAGAACGGACTTGGCTAGACGGTTTTGCAGTTTTAGAATTTCGTGTGTAGTGCGTGCAAGCTTCCATCGTTCGTAGCTCCAGGGCGCGACGAGGAAGGCAATTTGCGTGCATTTGCCATGTTTGCTCGCTGGCACACAGTCGCAGGTGTGATGCAATGATGGTCGAGGCAGAAGGCATCTGCCTGGACTACTGCAGACAGAAAGTGACCCAGGACCGGACAGGGGACAAGGGAGCATGTCCACAACTTACCCGCAACCAACGGATCACTGACCTGCTGCGGGGAAGTAAACTTCTCGTTTTGCGGACTGCTCCCCTTGTCCAGGCTTTGTGCAGCTGCCTGCGTTTTATGAGCCAACGAGATGCATGTTATCTGGATTGTTGGCCCTGCTAGTGCTGTCCATACCGTGCTCCCATCGAGTATTGTCGTGTAAACGAAGCCGTTTGAGACAGTAGACATAAACCCTACTCCAGGTAAACTCCGGCCTGTGTGACGTGTTTGGCAGAGGTCGAACCATATTAGTAAACCGTGAATCGCCCCGATAGTATGGCCTTCTTTAGCCACCGGTGCAGGCCGATAGGTAGGTAGATAGGAATGAACAGAGATAGAGGCAGATAGAGAGAGAGAGA